CCCCAAAACCCCAAAACCCCAAAACCCCGATATTGACAATATTTATTGGAAATTAAAAATGAATATTAACAATAAATTAATATTTAAGAATTGAGGAGGAGGGTGTGAAAAGGATGAAGGAGACTCAGTGATTATTTGGAGATTTCTCAAAAAGAAAGAAGTTGGAGGTCAGAATTTGCTACTAGGGAAATGGAGCTCATCCTGAGCCCCAGCTCCATTTTAGTCTTCTGTTAAATCTTGCCTTCTGCTAAATTCTGCTCTGTTTGTGGCTAGACAGAACTATGTTCATACGCACAACACAAGACCTAGTAATCTCCCCTAGCAACACCCTGACCATCTTCAAATACAAATGTGTTTTCTAAACAGAAGAAGCTATATCAGAATATTATTGTTTTTGAAAAGTACATCTTCTCAATTTAGGAGAAAATTTGATAATGTAATTCCCATACTTTAAAATGTTATGCTCTGGTTAATTTTTAGACAAAACCCCTTTAATTCCTGGCTATAACAATCATTGTTCATATGGTCCTTGAACAGACACTAAAAGAGCATATCTGGGCTTCAAGAATGGCTTGCCCACTTAACGCTCTTGACAAGAGGCTCAGTCTCATTATATGAGCAACAACTGAGTTTCTAAAGAATATTGAGTTTTGAGTTAAGGGATACATCGATATCAAAGTTTTAAATATTACTAATTTTGATAAAATAAATTTCCAAAATGATGAATGCGTGCAGTTTGATTTATTCTCTGTAAAGATAAATAAAACATACACAGATTCTAGACAGCTTTAAACTTGAGGTTACTTACATCCTGTACTCTTTTAGTTAGAAACAACTAAAAATTTCAGAGTTTGTTTTTAAAAGTATTTTATTAATTCATGGATATCTGAAGCCTGCTAATTATTTTGCTCTACATAGTTTTGAGAAAAATATACTATCAAAAATATAAAGTACAATCTCTGGGCTAGCCTTGGAGCCAATAGCCAGGAAATTTAAAAATTCTTTAAATTTTATCCCAGACCATTGATATGCACCCAAAATGCTGATATGAGATGGAAGGCTTTAAATGACACCACTTTCATTTATGAGATAAGAGAAGCTTAATAATAACTCCCAGTAACCACAGACAATCAAAGATATATAGATTGGGAACCAAAACTCTCTTCTAAAAATATAACCCTGGCTCTCCAACCCTCATCAATAACTATCTCCACTCTTATCAAAACCACCTCTAAAATCCAACTCCAAAAGCCGATCTCTCCTAAATCCTAACCTATTATCTAATCTTCCCACCTATGAACCCAAACCTAGGACTGAACTAAATCCATTCCCAACTCCTCACATCGCTAAAATATTTTTGTTAACTTCCAATATTAATTTTACCCCCTGGGGTTTTGGGGTTTTGGGGTTTTGGGGTTTTGGGGTTTTGGGG